TTAAATTTGACAGCAACCCCTTCTGCTGCCTTTCCATATCATGCCATGTCGGATTTGACATTTCGGTTGAAAAATTATAATGCTTTTTTTTTGTTACTGTTATTGACGATGTGAACTTTTTAACATCTCTTTTGGAGATGATCTAAAACCTCTAAAATAGTAAAACCTAACACCACTGTTTTTAGCCAAAACTGGAATGGCTTTTGCACTTCGCCACTTGCAAAAGCTAAAAGCCGAAAAAGGAAGCTTCCGGTTGCAGAAAAGCAGTGTGGCATAACTCTCCGGCGCAGATTTGTTTTGTTTGACGTCCGACCTCGGCCGGTGGCATTGTCCAGGAGCGACAGCTGTTAATTATTCCTGTTTCTTTTTGGGCAAGAATAATGTAACTTGTTCACTTTAAGCTTTTAGATTAGGATAGTTTTTATTGATATTCCTTAATTTATTGATTGGTTGGTCAAAAATTAAACCGAATGCGTAAAAAATAAAAATAAATATATGAATAACACTACTCTTATTAAGGCAGCCGCCACAAACTCTTATGTCAGTACTCCCATTTCTTATTATAAAACTCGGAAGGAGACCAAGATATTTTTGGGCATTTTGATGACAAATATATAGCAGTTATGCTGGCCCATGGAAGTGTAAAGAACAAGCCAAATCCTTCACGCACTTTCGCTGTAAGCTTATTATGGGGGGCTGTATTCGTGTAGAATGCCATGTTCACATTCATATGCTAAGAAACAATAATATCTTAGAACTTATCCAAAAAAAAAATTATCTAGAGAAGAATATTATTAGACTCAGTCACACGGCACATAGAACTCTACAACATTAAAATTTATATTTTTCGCCAACACTATCTAGGCAATTGACGCTGTGTCACATTCTAGACTGGGCCCCATCATATTCCAGGTTCGACTCCACCGTAATACAATATTGTCCGCTTTGGGCCCCAACCATGCCCTCACGGTTTTGTTTCTGGGAACGCACACGAGAATTTCCCAGTGGGTCACCCATCATGGGATTGCTCTCGCGCGAACTCGCTTCGAAGTTCCGATGGAACCCGAAGCCAGTGAGCTCCCAAAAGGCATCGTGCTAGGTAGAGATGGAAATATACATATAAGGCTTACAGGATCCACTCCCCTGGACGGTGTGGGATGTTACATTACAACTTTGGCTGAGGTGTTTGATCTCAAAGATTTGGGACCTCTTACTTACTTTCTGGGTCTTCACATTCAGTATCAAGATGATGGCTCTTTTTTTGTTAGTCAATTGAAGTATGCAAATGAGATATTACTTAAAGCAGGTATGGATCAGTGTAAACCTACGTCCACACCTTCTAAACCACATGCTCAGTTACTTGATGCAGAAGGTACTCTTCTTAGCGATCTTACACAATACAGAAGCATAGTCAGGGCCTTGCAATGCCTAACTTTTATAAGACCAGATATTGCACATTCTGTTAACAGGGTGTGCCAATTCATGACCAAACCTACTGATCTTCATTTTCACTTAGTAAAAAGGATACTTTGATATTTGCAAGGGACAATTACTTGTGGGTTGAGGTATACCAAGTCTGCAGCATTATCCATCAATGCTTATTCTGATTCTGATTAGGCAACCGATATAAACACAAGGAGATCAATTACATGCTATGTGATTTTCCTAGGTTCTAATGCTATACCATGGCAGTCTAAGAAACAATCAACTGTCTCTAGAAGTTCAACCGAGGCAGAGTACAAAGCTTTAGCTCACTGTGCTGCAGATGTGTTTTGGGTTCGGTCTTTGCTAAAAGATCTCAATCAGTGTTTGCCTTCTCCTCTTTGTTTGCAATGTGACAATTTATCTGCACTTGCAATCTGCTCTAATCCTGTGTTTCATTCCAAGATTAAACATCTTGATACCGATTACTATTTTGTACTAGAGAATGTTCAAAATGGTGATCTTTTAGTCCAGTACATTTCTACTGAAGAGCAAGTTGCAGATGTCTTTACTAAGGGCTTACATAGTCCTGTGTTCAATAAACATCGTCACAATCTTGGTTTGGGATCTGTCAAACATGGTGCTGCAGCTTTTGTTACTCTATTATGAGTTTGTTCTATTGTCAGTTTGTTTGTTCAACCACAACTTCACAATGTTTCCTCAGCTATGGTTGAGGGGGGAGTAATGGGAGTAATGTTCATATGGCAGATGTCAATAGTGTATTAGTTGAATTAGTTAGTTGGTTGAGAGTTGGTTAAATCTGTTGAGGGTATTATTGTAATAAGCAAAGAGTGCTAAGGGTAATTTTGTAATAGGCAAATGAGGGTTATTACTATATAACCTCTTGATGTAATAATTTCATCAAGTCATTGTCTAATACAATATCATATTGCATACTCTCTCTAATTCTCATGTTCGCACTACCTTCTTCTTCCCTAAGTTTCTTCAATTCCTCCATAGTTAACAGTTGGGTCCATGTGGAGCAATAATATTGTGGGGATGGGAAGCATGCCATGAATCCAAATGATCGTGAGCTTGCTTAAATATGATTCATGTCTTGTTTTACAGATGATATGATAAGGTTTATAAAGATATTTTCACAAACGAGAAACACACTCCTAATAGAACTCTACTTATTTGTCGAGAAAACTTGTGTGAAACTCAACTATTACTTAATCATATTGAGTAGTACTACTAATTACCTAAAACTTAGAATGTGGTAAGCTTTAATTATAATTTTTATCATCTATTTATATTTAAATTTCTCATAATTAATATTCGTCTATAATTTTTATCATGTATTTATTTTTAAATTTCTCAAAATTAATATTCGCCGACTTAATCAATATGTATCATTAGATTCATCTCACGGCCTATTATTTTCTTCTTTCCTCCCACTCCTTTTCTTCTTAGTCCCCCCCCCCCCGGGCGCCCACGGAAGCAAACAATGAAACATTTTAAAACGAAATTTTGTTCGTAGTTTCCAATGAAAAAAGTCCAAAGCCAAATGGAAGATGGAAGATGGAAAATATATAGATAGATGCTTTCATTAGTCATCCAAAGAAAACTAAAATCGTTGAGAAATTGGTATTTCACTAGTGCCCAATATGTTACTCAGTTAAGGGTCTTTATTTCTTTCCAGTAAAGATTACGTATTTCTGTGTTTTATGTGAAAAAGATTGCGAGTTGAATGTTGAAATGTTGTGTGGAGTTGCCATATCAATTCCCTGGAACTAGGACGCCAAATGACCCTAGATGTGCAAGATTTGCAAAAATATTCTGGACACAAACAATAAACCGGGGAAGGGAAAAAACTTGAGATGAAATAAAAAAAGAGTGGGATAAAAAGAGGAAAAAACCATGAATCATTAGATGAATCAATGTTGTAGATTAATTAAGAGGAATAGTAATTATGAGAGTTCTAAAAAATATATGTTAAAAATTATAATAAAAGCTTACAACATGGCAAGTTTTAGGTGATTGATAGTGTCACTCAGTATGGTCTCGTGGGAAGTTAAGCCCTAAAGTCTAAACCATGAACACTAAGTTAACACATATAGAATTGTAAAGGTGTTAGATTAGTATGTCTAAAAAATAGATTAGACCTTTAGGTTAGGCTTTAGAGGGGTTAAGTTTCATGTCCCCTCTCTTTCCCTCGTATATGTGGATGCAAATTTCCGTCATCTTCAGTCTTGACACCTTTGATCAGAGACCTAAGCCTCACGCGCCCACGAAGTGGGGGGTTAGGTCAATGGATCTCCGATGCCTAAGTTAGTTTCTTTGAGAGAGTAAAGTGTTTTGAGACTTTTTAGGGTTGTCAAAAGCTCCTAGAAATTGGTAGAATATGGAGTATTTATAGGGCTAGGGCCGGCCATATAGGGTTTAATGGAGAAAATATTCTCTAAATATTCCCAAGATATTTAATAGGAGATAATATCTTGAGATAATAGGGCAATAATTCTTAATTGGTTTAAATTAGGATTACTTACTTGATTGGAGTCAATTTTCAATTAGGAATGTAGTAAATATAGGATTTGGGTAATTAATCCTTATCTTTAATTTCTTGCCATAGGCAGGTGCGTTCAGCTGCTGAGTCCTTCAGGGATGTGAGCTGCGCGTGGGAGAATCTGAGAAGTGTGCCCATTTATTAAGGGCAATCTTGTCCTTGATAAAAGTTCATGTGTCGCCACTAGAATTTTTGGGATTATTTTTTGCTCCACATTATCTTTGTTATTTTTGTTTCTAGAAGGGTAAGATTTATGTCTCCCCTTATTTTTCATTTATTTTTTTATCCTTCTTTATTGTATTATGAAGGGTTAGATAGGTGTACCTCTTTTTTTCGTTATCAATAAAATTTTCCTCTTACCATCGAGTTTTTCTAAAAAATAAAAAAAAATCTAAAAAATAGGAATTAGATAATTAAGATGAGAAATTGATACGATTCTCTTTCCCTACTTTCTCATTTCCAAAATTTCAAGTTCTCCGATTCTTTCCTTCTCCTAATAGCATTAATTTATGTTAGTCACGAGAGCTGAAAATGTTGAAATACAAAGTAAATACAAAAGTTGCTAGCATTCACATATACACGAAACCCTAGTTCGTTGAAGTCGAGTGAACTGAGTGTGCAAGGTTACTCGGAACACGATTATCATGTGGAGGAGATTCCAAAAGCTTATTGCATGGAAACTAGTCGAGTAAAAACCCTAGTACCAAAAAAGAGTAGTTCATCTTGTTTCATTGCTTGTCCTCAACCCACGTACGTGACTTCATCTTCTATATATACTTATTGCCATTTCTCTTTCGATTTGATCTGAATCTGATATTTTTGTTGAATTTTAATTTTTTGTAAGGCTTTCTTCCCCTTATTATTAATTAATATTTCCAGCTGACACAATACAACAATATATCTATCCAACGTCCTGACATATGAATAATTGGTTGAAGGGGGATGGTCATCGTCCCCCGTTCCTCAACAGCCATTCCAAAGCTCCCCTTTTCTTTATAATTTTTTTAAACAAGAAAATTTCGACCATTTCTTAATTTATACGTGTCATCTCAGGGACCATACTAATCATCTCTGTATCATTCCACTTTTATTTTCTTTATATTTAAAATGACATGAAATGATAAAAATTTACAAGATATCAGCACCTACTCCACGAATTCTAAACCTCTCCCCACCCTCCTCAAAGAGAAATTTTTTATTGTGATCGGAATACGAGTGATATACCATATGTTTTTATATAAGTGGTGGAAAATTTTATTTTTTAAGTTATTAACTTTTTAACATACATATCTCACACTTTGTATAATGACACATGAGTTGAATATCAGAGTGTGCAACGAACGAGATTACAAAATAATAGGAATATTATTAAACAACCGAGAATGCCGGAACGGCTACAAAACTCCAGAATGCTACATTGTGACTAGCTTATTCTAAACTGAATAACAAGCATGCTATTTATAATAAACTAACCCTAACCTAAAAAGGTAAGAAACCGAAACCCTAATGTTAACGGGTTAAGCTCAGAAAACCAAATATTCAAATAAACTAAAATCCTAATATTTTCCAACAATATGATGTAATATTTCGTATTTCCGTCACACTGAAAAGTCTCTTCTCCTCAACCAACTACCCTTCAAACGATCACCTTTTACGTCCCTATAAATACAGCCAGGGACCTACTTTTCTACTAGTCTAGACTTCTAGGTGAAACGTTTAACCGTTCATCATTTGTTAAGGTTTTTTAATTAACCGTTAATCAAGAGGAATCCTAAAACCAGTAACTAAGATTTTTTGGTTAAAAGTTAAATGAGACAAGGCTAGGCATAAGAATTTTCAAAATCCAAGAGCATATCTATGTTGGGCAAGAATCGGAGGTTAATTTGGCAACCCAAGGTGCCTAGCCTTTAATTTGACAAAGCAAATTTTGTTGGGCTAGAAGTTTTGTTTTTTTTTTTTTCAATTTTAACTGAAGATTATCAATTTATTTAGGTTATAAAGCTCCCATTAGATATGCTAGATGATGTTACTCACATTATTGGGAAGAAATGTTGTTTATTAATTGTTGTATCCAAACAATACCGGCGTGATATGTCTTTTGGTGACATAACATTAGCTAGTACTACCTCAAACTATCACAAGAATGTCAATTACTCATTTCTCTCGAATTATTTGGATGAAATTCTCTTGAATCGTACTGTTTTTCTGAGTTGAATTTCATGTTTGTCCTTGAAACTATTTTACATGTCTCTCACATAACACCGCTAAATGGCAATTTAGATAAAATTCTCTAAAATCAAAAGGCAGGGGATAATTGGCAGCTTTCTACTATTTTAGAGGGATCGACAATAAAAAAAAGTTCAGAATATAATTGACAATTTTGTGATAGTTAAGGGGGTATTTGGCATTTTAAAAAGAAAAGAAGATAAGCTTGCTTAGACAGATAAGTTGCTTAAACAGATGAGTTGCTTGTTCACATCAATGAGAACACTACATAATGCTAGTAACTTGTGTCATATCATCATACATCACACAAATCTTTCCATTATTGTAATTAATGAAGGCAATACTAGACCCCTAAGCAGAATTTAATCAAGGCAAGGCAACTCTCCTAACCTTTCACGATGTGACAAGCTGAATGATTTACAAAGGACAAATTAAACGATGTGATAACTTCACGATTCATTTAGCCAACCAGGGCCTGTGAATTAGTAATAATCGTTCTCTTTCCTAAATCAAAACCTATGTGCGAGTTCGCTACTGAAAATCTTTCTTGATGGGCGATTTATAAAAAAAAAAAAAAAAAAAAGCTAAGACCCCCATTGTAAGCCCTAAAATAGATTTGTGATATGCTCTGACCTTGAGATGGGATAACCCACACTCCCCTAAACTTACCCTTAAAAAAAAAAAAAAAAAAAAATTCATGATCCATGTCAAGAAATTTACTTTCTTTGAAAATTTAAAAAAAAAAAAATCTCCAACATTTATTTTCATGATAAAATAGAAAATCCAACTCAAATTTGCTGTTTACCACAAAAAAAAACGAAAATTGAACGACTCCAAAAAATAGGTCCACATGCAGGTGCGTGGAAGTTTCGTTGGTAGGGTAACCTAGAGTTCGTCTCGGTCACGCGGGAAGGGTAAGTATGGAAGGGCGAGATCGATAATACAAGGAAACACCGAGGGGCAGTTTCGTCAGACACGCCGCACCATACAAATTGCTGAGAGAGCCGTCGACGTATCCGAGTTTCTGAATCCCGATATTACGAGATTAACAAAAAAAATCAATCAGAATTTAATATATAAATCGGAAATTAGAGAAGCAGAAGCTTTTGAGAGGGCGGTGGCAAACCCGCCAGCTTGACTGCCACCAAACCAGAGAGGGAGAGAAGGAGAGAGAGACACAGCAAGCAAAAGAGTAGGTAAACTCAGACGACCCAAATTCTCAGTTTCTTTGTTTTGTTCTTGTTTTTATTTGATTTGTAGTTTTTTGTTTGGATCTCGGATTCCTCATTTCTCCATTTCCTACGTTGTTCTAGACATCTTGTCTTCTGTTTGTTTATTTATATTTATTTTTGGGTTGAGTTTTTGTGCTTTTTTTTTTTTTTTTTGGTTCTTTTTCCCGATTGCTAGAGGGTTTGGTTGCTGCGAAGGATCCGTGGCAGCTAGACCGCCTGATGAACACTACAATGTAGGTTGGGATTTTTGGGGTTCCTTGTTGCACATGGTTTTATATCTTCTAATTTGATTGGGTTTACGTTAATTCTATGTCGATTTGGATAATGTTTGTTTTGTTGCATCCAAGGAGTTATATTTCGACAATGACTAGGATTTTATCCGGGATTTGATGTTTAAGATGGTGGGTGTTTTCTTATTTGTCTCTGTTTTTGTTGATTGAAGGAATTTGCAGTGCAAGAGAGGATTCACCGGAAAAAGGAGGGATTTTTGAAAATCCCCCTTTTTACAATCCGGAATTGTAATTTCAGGGGGTGTTATTCTGAATCGAGAATTGAATTGTGCGAAAACCCGGTTCGGGTTTTGCATGAGAAGGAATTTGTGTGAACTGGGATTATTGAAGACACTGCAGTAAAAGAAATTTGGGGGGAAACCATGGAGAGGATTTTGGCGGCGGTGGAAGTGGTGAATCAAGCGGGAGGGGAATCGTTACTTGGGACAATCAAGATCGCCGTGCTTCCCATAGCAAAGGTTTTTACAGTCTGCTCCTTGGGGCTTCTAATGGCTTCCAAGTATGTGAACATCTTCCCAGCCAGTGGAAGGAAATTGTTGAATGGGGTAAGAAAAACCCTCTTGTGTCACCTCCCAAGCTTTAGGGACTTTTTGGGATTGCGTCTGGAATGACTAAAAGTTTATTTTTTTTAACAACCAAAAGCGCTTTTGATTACGTTTGGGAGAAAAAGTTCAAAGTGCTTCTTGGTCGTAGCACTTGGATTTTTAATAAAAGCTCTACATGTTTTAGTAGAAGAACTTATAAGCAGAAGCAGTCCCCAATGAGCCCTTAGCAATTTTGCACTATAAGCCACATTTTTGTGTATATACCGTTGCATTGTATAACTGATTGATTTTCCAACTATTTTCTGCAGTTGGTCTTCTCGCTCTTGCTTCCATGTTTGATATTCTCTCAGCTTGGACAAGCCATCACCCTACATAAAATGCTTGAGTGGTAAGATTTAGTTCTGCTGTGACATTGCTTCTTTGGCCCAAACCAAGGAATCCTTTAGATTTGATGCAAAATTGGATTTTGTTCCACGTAGCCAAAATCCCAATGCATTATTTCTGAACTAGAAATTTCTCCTTTTACAGGTGGTTTATTCCCGTGAATGTCGTGATTGGTAGCACTACAGGCTCCATAATAGGTTATATTGTTGCATCCCTTGTCCACCCACCATACCCTTTCTTCAAGTTACAATTGTACAAATTGGAATAGGTATGCTTTTTGACACCCCCTTCTATCAATAGTTTTAACAAATTAGAAAAAAACCCTTCTATACATTTTAGTATTGAGTTTTCTGTATAAGCTGCATTTTTGCTGCTTGGTCATTGTGCATAATGTGTTGGCTTATACCATTGATTACAGGAAACATCGGCAATGTGCCACTGGTTCTAATTTCAGCTTTATGTAGAGACAAATCGAACCCTTTCGGTGATTCAACCACATGTAAAACAGATGGAACTGCCTATATTTCATTTGGCCAGTGGGTAAGTAATTTTCGTTTCACTTTTGATCCCCACAGCTTGTATACTTGAATCCAAGTTGCAATTATGCAGTGATGCAATACATAAGATTTTCAGGTGCATTAGTTAAATTATACATGATAAGGTACTAAACATTGTAGCTTATTGCTGATGCCGCTATAGGTTGGTGCAATCATTCTATACACGTATGTATTTCAAATGCTGTCCCCCCCTCCAGAAGGTACCTTTGACGTTGAGGAAAAAGAACTCCCAATCAAAAGCCCTCGAAATGGCACGACACCTGATCAAGTTCCATTGCTTACACCTGACGAAAATGAAGAAGAGACAGCACGTAAAGAAGAGGTTGCAGAAACTGAGTCGAATGCTTCAAATAAGCCTAAGGTGAGAATGAATTTAGTCATCCACATCTAATCTCAAACATCATCCTGTCCTGATGCAAAATATTTCATCCTTTCAAAAAGAGAAAAGGGATACGTTTTATTTTGGCAAGATGGGAGGTATGTTGTCAGGGAAAAAAATTGATAGCAAAGATAGGCAGCTTAAAGCTTTTCAACTTTCTATCACTTACATATATAGATCCATGAATTTTAACAGCTTCGAACTTGAAAGTTGGGATTTTTACTTTACTTCACTGCTTTATTGTGTTGTCTCTAGTATATACTATGTTCCTAATTACATGTCATGACTCGTCGCAGATTACAAAGTTCTTCTTATTCATCTATGAGAAGTTGAAGCTCAAACAAGTTCTTCAACCACCTATAATAGCTTCTGTAAGTTTGATTTATTTTCCAAACTAGTTTTATAACTGTATTTATTAATGAATTTATCGGTTGGAGCGTCAAGATGAGCAGCTTCTAATTAGTATGCACAATTTTCCTGCAGATCCTGGCCATGGTA